TTGAGTTGAGTCATAAATTTAACAATATTATATATATATATATATATATATATATATATATATATATATATATATATATATATATATATATATATATATATATATATATATATATATATATATATATATATATATATATATATATATATATATATATATATATATATATATATATATATATATATATATATATATATATATATATATATATATATATATATATATATATATATATATATATATATATATATATATATATATATATATATATATATATATATATATATATATATATATATATATATATATATATATATATGGGAAAGTGTATGGGCCCAAATAAATGAGCCATATGTTGGAGAATTATTGTTTTAATATGCATGAGTGTGTATAATACAAAGTACGAGAAAAAACAAACAATTTTGAACAATACTTCAAGTAACCAAACTTATACATTACAAAAAGTCAGTAGTTCAACCATAATTCAAATAACAGTACAAATAAGATATGAATAACAATAGCGTGTTGATATCTATACAACATTGAATACAACACATAAATAGGAAAACACAAAAAGGATGCAACATCACATCTACGATTTCTCAATTTTTATGTGCTTGTTAACTTTGGTTGATGAGAGTTCACCATCAGCCAGGTTGATGACCGTAGTAGATTCACTTGACCCATAAGGGTTAAGCTTTGATGTAATCTCGAGTTCCTGCAATATTTAACGACACATGTATTAGATGCATGAGATATAACGTGTAAGAAAAAAACACATGCGTTAGTATGAGTTGTTGACATACAATAATTACTTCAAAATCATTAATAGCATTAGCTTCATCGACACTCTCTTTTATCTATCAACACATACAACTAATGTCATAAAAGCCAAAGATCATTGACATGTAACATATACTAAAAATATGACAATCAACAACACATATATTTAAGATATACTTGTAAAACAGGTGTGGGTGGGACACAATCATACACACATTATCACTTTCTTAGGGAGCTTTTAGTTGTTGTATCACGTAAATGTCTTGACATATAGAGACAACAAAACAACTATCCCACTGAGGTTTCCACTTGACCTTCCAAGCAATTTCCTTACCCACGAACTTGTCAAGTGCCAAGGGATACTCAAGTGGATCACTTATCCCATCATAAATAATGAATTTAAGTGGTTAACATGAATAATAAAAATGCTTGTTTAATCAAAAGTTGATGAAAATTAACATCAGGATCTAACCTTAATCATTGTGCTGTTCATTTGAGTAGCAGAGAGATCTAATAACTGTTCACTTTCATGGTCTCATAAAACAAACCTGCAACAACTTCCGCAAAGAACCATATCTATTTGTATTTTTTACCTAATGAATGGTAAAAACAGGAAAGTAGTAATGAAAGCCATGTATACAGGGGAGAATACCATATGCACTTATTAACATTTGGCAAAAGATATAACCTAAAAATTTCAGCTTCACATTTAAATGGAGGTTTGTCGCCCCTATCTACTTTAGGACATTGATGACATGCCTGATAATATTATTCCTAATGTGATGCAATGAGCTTATCAAATGTTGCTACCGTAATACATAAAGTTATCTGTAGAGCATCCATGGTGTGAGAGTTAAACAAAAGAATATATTTTTGTAGTCATAGAAAAAGTGTGTGAAGAAGAGCGGAAATAGCCATTAATAAAAATAAATGCTTTAGTAAGTTGCTTAATTTCACCGATAGGAAGGGCAACGACTTTTGACATGAACTTCTGGTAAGGAGTAAGTTGAGAGCCATATGAGTTTTGTGACCACACTTGAGATTGTAAACTTAATTGGCTGGATCGGTTTACCAACATGTCCTTAGGGATGCTAACAGAATAAATAAAACATAACATATTATAGGATTTGGTGAAATGTATGTAAAGAAAGTAAAACTAAATGTTGTTGTCAAGAAGTGGACCTTTTAATGAAGTCATTGATTGGCCCAATATCATTGTTGATGTACATTTTTGTAACATTGTAAGTGTTAGAAATAGAAAAAGGATACTTTCCTATATGGACAATAAGCTTGTACGTGTATTAGACTAATAAAAAGAAAATACAAAAATGAACATACTACAACATACAAAATTGAAGAATGGAAAACCCTCCTCTTTGACTTTGGTGTATTGTAGTAAGATGAAAGTTGGCAAGACATAATCAGTTTTTTGTTGATTGAATTTGATGAATAGTGACGCATAAGCTTCCTATAGGGTACAATTGATTGTGTTGTTGCTACAAATAGAGGAAGTCAAATTAGTCAGTAAAAATAAGATCATAACGACTAAAAAATAGGTTGTAAAGATCATAGTTACCCCAAGTCCCGCAACACCATGTTGATCTGCTATTTTTTTCGCCAGTATGGATCTGGGTGTACCCGATTTCGTCCATCATTCCTATAATATCTGAGAAATTTAGCATAAAGATTACGTGGCATCAGGCTGGTGAGGAAAAAAAACAAAAAGGTTTATTGATTAAACCAAAGTCATATCTATCAATGAATCTTTTTTCCATTTGCCGGTTATAATATCACAAAATGGAGTGAAGTTAATAACTTTGTCCGAGATTATATGCTTGTTTGTGTCACCAAACGTGGTTCCTCTAGTGAATTTATGAAAAACTTATGATTTGAAGGTCTTAATACCAACTCATTAAGTTAAACCTGAAAGTTGGCTATTATACAAGTGTTGTTAACAACTAACTGTGAATCGAAAGTCTTGCTATACAATGTCGGAACGACCACACGGATAGTAGTACCCTGTTACAGGAAAGTAAAACACGCGGTTCCATTATCACCATCAAAACCTAAAATAAGTAAAATTGCGTGAATATTATCAATAACAAATTTATTTCACATAAAATATCAAAAAACTCAAAAAGAGTTTGTGGAAGAAAAAGAAAACATAACCCATTTGCAAGTTAGGAAAAAACCTCAAAATTGTCGAATATAAAATATCATAAACTTATGTATTTGTCGACGAGAATCATCTCAAAGTGCTCTTTCGTGTTAGAGACGACATTTTATCTAAGATAAACTTTCACAGCGATCTTTCAAATCTCCTTTGTGTTGTTAATGTCCTTGACGTTCTCAAATGACCTTGCCATGTAATCCGGATTTGGTTGTACATATGAAACAATGAGATAAGTAAATTACAAAACAGAGAAAGCGATGGAAAGATGAGAAAATGAATAACAAAAGTCGCAAAACAGAAAAAATGAAGAGATAAGAGGATTTGGTCTAAAGAAGCAAATTTGATATGAAGCTACGTGAGAAAGACATTTTGTGACATGAAGTTTACTTTTTGAATATATAGTAAGTATAAAGTGAGGGTTTGGTTGGAAAAAAAATTGAATTCAATGTCAATGGTGTTGTAGCGGAACAAATGTAATGAAAAATTAGTTGCAAATGAACCAAAATGCCATCATCAGACATTTTACAAGAATACCCTCCAAATAGTAGATTGGGATCAATAATTAAAAATGGTAGTATGGTCTTTTTCGGAGCATACTACTTTCTTCTACGGTAGACTAGTTCAACAATAAATTATATTAAACACTTTAAATTTAATCAATCAACAAACTTGTATATTATTGATTATCAACTAATTTATAATTTATAAATATATCGTTTGAGAGAGAAAAACTTTTTGTTTTCTTAAATTCACATCCCAATATATTTTTAACGTGTAAAATGAAAAAATTAAATAAAATATTAGTAAAATCTGTTATTTTATAATTAAAATCACATAATATTAAAATTTAGAGTGTGATCATATCAACACTAATGTATCAGATTTTATGATTAAAATGAATTGAGTTGAGTCGAACTCTCTTCAACTTAACACGATTCGATAAGAATTAGTTAAGTTCAAATCTCAATTCAAATTCAATCCAAACATTTTTATTTAACTCAACCTCAACTCATTTAAAATTTACGAGTTCAACTCTTAGCTTCATTTCATTAGATTCAATTCGTTTGCTTCGCTTAAAAACCATTTTAAATTTTTTTTTTTTATATATTTGATATTTTAAAACAATATTTTTTAAAAAGAGAAATATTTAAATAAAATAAAAATTATAAGATTAGAATTTAATCTTTTCACAAATTTGTTTGATATTTTTATTTGATATAATAATTATATTGAGTATAAAAGTTTAATCTTTAATTATTGTATGTAGTCTTTTTATATATGTGTATTTTTATGAGGTAGATTTTGTTTGTATAATTATTTTTTATAAATATTTTGTTTATTTTAAAATATAAATAATCAAATAAAACCGTTAAATTTTAAAAAAAAAATAGAAGGTTAAAATTTGAAGTAAGTTTTTAAATTTATTTTTAAAATCAATATAATTTTTTTTCTATATAATTGAGTTGAGTCATAAATTTAACAATTTTATACATATATGTGTATGTTTAATTAACATTTAATTCATTAATCTAATTCAATAATTTTATTATAAAATCAAAATTTAAATTATATTAGAGTCGATTCCGTCGAACCAGATCCCTTTCTAATAGTAATAAGTCTCTTTTTGCACCTCATTTATAAAAAAAATTCTATATATATAATATTTCTTTAAATTTCTTTTAACTCTTCTCCATGAAAATCACCATCTCCTCTTTCTACTCTTTCCTTCCAAAATTAATCCAAACATGGTGAACGTAGCAAAGAAATAAGCGCGTGAAATACAAGTACATACAAGTGGACGGAGAAGCTAGAACAGTAGTGTAGTAGTGTAAAAGAGAAGAGTTAGAGGGGTATGAGCTGTGTAATACAAGTACTGGACCCCACCACCCATGTGCCTTCTTCCTGTCTCCACCACTTCCTGTTTCCAAACTCAATCATTACATTACTCACTCCCTCCTCCTCCTTCCTCCTCCTCTAAGAAAACCCAAAACCCTTTCATTCACAATATTATATTAAAAAATAACTCAACCCCAATTTTTTTCACATGTCTAACTCCAAGGAAACATCTAACGCCGTCACAACAGACCCAGAACCAACAAACCAAACCGCCATAACCGTTAAAAAACCACCGTCAAAAGACCGTCACAGCAAAGTTGACGGACGCGGTAGAAGAATACGCATGCCAATTATATGCGCCGCACGTGTCTTCCAGTTAACACGTGAGTTAGGTCATAAATCCGACGGTCAAACCATCGAGTGGCTTCTCCGTCAAGCTGAACCCTCCATCATCGCCGCCACCGGTACCGGGACTACTCCCGCTTCTTTCTCTTCTCTCTCCGAGCATAAACCGTTTCTCTCTCCTTCTCCCTTCATTCTCGGTAAACGGTTACGTTCCGACCACGATGATGTTTCGATTGCGGCTCCTACTGCTCCTCCTGCTTTGTGGAGGCCGGATTTCGCTCAGCTTTGGAGCTTCGCTGCGGCTGCTCAACCTCCGCCGGATGTTCTTTCCATTTCTCCGAATCAGCATCAGCATAGTTCGCTGTTTCATCATCAGCAGCATCAGCAGCAACAACAGCAGCAGCATCAACAACAAGGTTCCATGGGAGAAGCTTCCGCAGCTAGGCTAGGGAATTATCTTCCCGGACATCTGAATTTGCTGGCCTCATTGTCAGGTGGTAATGGAAACTCAGGCCGCGGAGACGAAGAGGATCGTTGATTGGAGAAAAATTACTCTGGTTTTCACTGTTCACGTTCTTACTATATATTTATAGCTATGTATTAATTATGGTGTCTGTGTGTGGTTAATTTTATAGCTATGTTTATTCTTAGTCAAATGTTAGGTTTAGGTTTATGTTAATTTTGGAGTGGAGAAGTCCTTGAATTGAGGAATTCAATTAGAATTAGGGTTTTCCTAGGTGGGAAAACTGATTAGGTTTTTAGAAGATGATGAAATATTTGTTTAGATAATTGAGGTTTCTGTTGAAGAAGGGAAATGGAAGCATGGATTAGTGTGATATGTATTTGCAATGCTTGAAGTTGAGTGAAGATCAAACATGCTGCTTCTGTTTCTCTTTCATGGTGGGTTTTGAATTTCACTTTTCTGATTAGAGTGCAAGTATTGTGTTTTCGTATATTAGGCTTAGGTTAATGAGAAAATGTGTATCTGATGATCAATTGTTGCTCCAATTTTACTTGGAGTATCATTTTTTTCAGAATTTCATGCTTCCGGGTCGCCAAATGAGCATTATTGAAGAGATTGGGTGGGGGTCCATTTGAAGCATCGATGGTAGGAATTTGGCAGAGTTTCTGGTGAACTGTGCCTTACTTTTGTTTGAGAAAGGACTAGTACCTGTAAAACATGGGGACTACTGGTTCAACTCTGTAAAACCTGTTTTTGAGATTTTTATTTATCAGCAATTCTTATCCATTTGTTAGATTGATCAGTGTGAGACTGAGAATAATGTGTTTTCTTCTATGTAACTTGATTGTTGTGGGGTTTTAGTGAAGTGAATAAAAACCCATTTCTTTCTTTCTATCTTACTGCTATTGCTACGTTTCTTTTCCCTTATGTATCATATTCCAAATTGAATGGTTTGATTACTTTCTGTTCTATAATACAATAGTCATAGGTAATCTGAAGCCTTTTTTAAGGGGTCATTACTATGGTATTCTTGCTTGGGAGTTTGTACTAAGGCCTTTCAGTATTTAAGAAGAGACAAGGTTTGGTACTATATCTTGTGTACAAATATGTAATGTAATCATGCTGATACCTTGTATGGTTACTATATTTGATCTTTTACCCTTGTTTAAAATAAATTGTGGTGCATCTCATTCAACAAAGTCAATCTGGGTCTTTGTGCTGCTGAAGCAAAAACTCAACTTTGGCTTATGTGTTGGCATGTTATTAATGACTTGTCTACTGTGGTTGTTGTAACATTGGCTTTTATGGCCACACCATTTGAAACAGCCATGTGCTGATGATAGCTTTTAAATAAAGGTACACAACAATAATTTGAGTTATTGTCATCAGACTTTTTTTGATAACTCTGAATACAACTCGCCCGTGATTGAGACTGCATCCATTGTTACCCCAACTTTGATTTAAATGCTTGTGCATACCGGCATCTCAATTCCCCAGCGGAAGAGTGCACTATGCCGACTATTAGTGGAAAGGAAGATCTAAGATTTGCTGAAGTATCTATCCTTTCCACTGTTACTCGGCGGGGCTAAACTGGCATATTTGGATGGGAGAAAGTTGATTGGCTTGATAAGTTGAGGATATCTTGGCAATAAAATGAAAGGACTTGGGTATAGAAATTTTCATTACTTTCTTCCAATAGAATTTTCATTAAGCTTATGTGAAACTACCTGCCCAATAATCTTATTTGGTTTTTTACACATGGTGGTGTCCACAGTGTGTAATTGGGAAACCAGGAGGAAGTTGAGCTGCTTGCATAACAGCCACTCGTCATAATTTTATTAATTTTGTACTATCCTGCTGATGGATTATTGGTGGGGTAACATATTTGCTACGGTGACAGGATTTTAAGCATAGTACGGAAAAGGGTCCAGTTTTCAATAATTGATGGGTCCTAAGTCCTTTAATTACAGAACGAGGTTAGACTGAACTAGTTAAAAATCACCCTATAATTTACGAGAATTACTTCGACAAAAATTACTGTAGAAGTATGTTATTGTAGTTTTATTAAATTCAACTCTCATCTAAACATACGCCAATTGAGTGTGGCAAATCCAATACGGGGAGCACATAATGAAGCAAAAGTCAAAATATAAACCAATTTAGAACTTAGAACAGTCGGTTACCATTTCTATTTCTATTTCTTCAAATAGGTTGTAAGGGTTACTTCCTTACCTCCATATTGAGAATATGAATTATTTAAATAATCAGTGGTAAAAAAAAGGACTAAATTACTTGTATGAACAATATCAATTACGGCTTGTAATTGTTGGCTAAGGTTTTAATACATTGAAACTATTTATACCTAAAAATAGTTAAACTGTATGTTAAAATTGGCGGATAGATAATTTTAGAATTGAGCGAAGGTCTCTCAATATGACTTAATGTCAGGTGAGGTCAATATAAACACTGTCAAATATGAATCAATTAAATCTTTTCCAAATCTTTCCCAAAGGTATATCATGGTCGTTAAGGTTGTGGACATAGTTAAAATACACTGGAATGAGATGCAGGTCTGTCCATGATTTAAAGATATTTTTTCATAAATAAAAATCATTAAATAATATATATATAAATATAAATAAACAAGTGAGGCCTTATGTGGTAGCTTTGGTGGCCTACTCCTAGAGCCGACTCTGAAGAGATGATTGAACTTTATGGACACTCTCCATGTTAATGAGCGCGCTAGCGAAAAAGGGTAAAGGTTCTGAAACCATAGATTGGAATATGCCGTGAAGCAGAAGACAAGTCGAATGTGGGGTGCAATGTATCCCAACTTGATACCAAAAAACTCAAACCCACAATGTTTGGAAGAGTATAGACCAATATGCCTAATCGGATGTATTCATAAAATTATTTCAAAAGTTTTTGCAGCCAGGTTGAGAAGAGTTATAGGAAAATTGATCTCTGCTAATCAGACGACATTCATTCTGAAAAGACAAATTCTTGATGGTGTACTGGTCCTGAATGAACTTATAGACTTCGCAAAAAGACGGAAGCAGAGCTGCATTATTTATAAGGTTGATTTACCGGAAAATATGATTGTGTTGACTGGAATTTTCTTAAGGACTCATTACGTAACATGGGTTTCGAGAAAGCTTGGATGCGTTGGATGGACAAAAGTGTTCTTGAAATTCTGGTATGCAGATCTCAGATGTCCCAAGAACATTGATCTCTGCTCAACAAGGACGAGGACAGACCATGAACAATTTAAATTTCTTTAAATTGTCCCAATGTCATGACCAACGTCATGACATCTATTGTGACATCTGCAGGCTGACAGACCTATTTATCTAACCATTTAAATTGTGAATTATAAATGCAGAAAGATAAATAACACCAGTTATTGTTTACCCAATTCGGTGCAACATCACTTACATCTGGGGGCTACCAAGGCAGGGAGGAAATTCACTATTAGCAGAATCAATTCAAAGTCAAATAACCAGTTTGCACTTCTCACTTAATCTCTACCCGATGCAATTTCAGCCTAGAGACACTCTAGTACCCGAGTATACCCACTCACTCCCCCTCAATCACACAACAGTGATTTCAATACACAATTATAAAATTCAATATGAAGAGACACTTCATACACACCTTGATCTTGCTTCACAACTTTGATAAAGGAATTCACACACTCTTGCTTCACAACTTTGAGTGAGACACAACCTAGAATCTACCTATCCAATGCAATCATCCACCAGACAATTGCTTGGAGTACAAGTATTCCTAAACAGAATTCACACGTGAAGACTAACCTTCTTCACTTACAAATATGTCTACCACAATGTATCAAAAGATACAAAGGGTGACTTACACACAAGGGACTCTCAAACCCTAGACCTTTATTTTACACTCTGGTTTTCCTTGATTTGAGTGCTTGCTTTCTTCTGCTTCTGCTCCTCCTTTTATAGCTGTGCAGACTGGGCTTGGGCTGGTCCAAAGTAACAAACATTAGTTTTAACAAAGTAAAACTAATTTCCACAATTCAAGGTGCTGTCAAATTAGGTCATGATACTGCCTAGAATCTCGTCTGAGATAACTCAGGAGTCATAACAGGTTTCCTGATATTTAGCCTGAGATATATCAGGTATCATAACAGAAAAACAAACCCTTCCCGTCTGATGTCATACGATCAATGTCACAACATTGGTCATGACATTCAACTTCACTAACTCTTAGCTTTCCAGCTTGCCCTGCTAAACACTTTTGCAGAATCTTCTTCATGACAGTAGAAATACATGTTGTATAGTTCCCTAAAAAGTATCAAAGATCCTTTTTATGGATACACATTAAATCTGCACTTTGTTCCTAATGATTCTTTTTGGCCTGTACATACTGATGAGGAATGTCCAACAGTACCAAAACACTTCTGTCAAGAGATATAACATAGTAGCCCCTGCTGTACCAGACATTGATGTCATAACATTCAGTATGACATCCATGATAGCAGTTCTGTCATCAGCTCCTGCTAGCTTCTTCTGCATCCATGACAGCAGTTTTGTCATCTGCTCTTGTTAGCTCCTGTTGTACCAGATGTCATGATATTGGTAATGACATCCTGTTTACAAACATGACAACAGTTCTATTATCAGCTCCTACTGAACCACTACTCCTGCTGTTTCTCACCCATGACAGTAGTTCTGTCATGACAGCAGATGGATGTCGTGATGGATGTCACGACATTTAGCATGACATTCTCATTAAAACACTCCACAACAGTTTTGTCACCACAACAGATGGAGATGTTATAACATCCTGCTTATCATCAGTGCAGGATCATGTTTTACCAAAATTTAGCCAATCATAGAGCCATGGATAGAATCATGGCACTAACAATCTCCCCCTTTGGCAAATTTTGGCTAAAGAACCCAAACAACTTATCAGGGCAGCAGCAGTAGTTTACACAAACTATCATGCTCCCCCTTAATAGTTGCATCCAGCAAGCAATAGCATAGCAGCAATAATGCTTTTCTCCCCCTTGGTTTAGTCAAAACTTTGACAACAAATGGAGTAAA